TAGTTCAAGCTCATCAGCTGCTCTTTGGAAACCCTATACCGGGTCAGTATGGGTCAGAACTGACTCAGCTGCACTTAACAACAACAACAATAAATATATCCATGAATTGGTGAACCATTGTTTGTTGTTATGTGCTGTTGAGTCCGTTCTGATTCATAGTGGTCTTATAGAGTTTTCAGGGAGCAGCTGGTGGGTTTGAATCTCCAACCTTGTGGTTAGCAGTCTAGTTCTTATTCTACAGCACCACATTAGGATTCCATGGTAGAACATACAGGAGTAAAAATTAAGAAACTATTTAGACATTAGCAAACACTTTGTGGGAATGAGTTGCTGGTTCTTAAGTCTCAGAACCATAGTCTCAGGGCATACCTTGTCAGTTGGCATAGTCCACAAACACAGTGTTCTAAATTCTACATTGTTGTTGAGTGCCATCAAGTCAGTTCCAACTCATAGTGATCCTGTATAGGGTTTCCAAGGAGCAACTAGTGAATTTGAACTGCCAACCTTGTGGTTCAAACTGACCTTGTGGTCCAGTGCTTAATCCCACAGCGTCATACCAGGACTCCTACTTTAGTGAGTAGCAACTGGGGTCTTACACACTCGAGTGACCCTGTAAGGTTATGTGAAGGAAAAAAGAGTGATGAAAAGTGAAGACACTTAGAAACAATTAGTCCAGTGGACTGATGGACTATATGAACATTGGTCTCCACCACACTAAGACAAAAACAACAAGCTGGTGCCCATCTACCACTGCCAACTGCTGTGAAAGAGAGGTCGCATCAAAGTCCCAGATAGAGTGGGAGAAAATGTGAAACAAAATTATTTTTTAAAAAGATCAGGCTTAAAAGAGTAATCTGATAAAATTTGATGAACTTGACCTACACCTATGGATGCAGTAGCTCAAAAGAGGGAACAAATCTTTACAGCGAGGATCATTCCCACCCCCTCAGTACACAGGGAAGACAGCTACCCAAAATGGGGAGCGGTGTCTACAAAGACAAGAATTGACTGGCTTACGAGCTTTAAAGAGGGAGCCTAGATACAGAGGGCGCGGAGGAAGGTAGAATCTCCACTGAGTAGTATCCAATCTGTCTGGGCAGGGCTGATGAAAGGAGATGGGGATAAGTCTCTTGTGGTACAATAGTGAATAATTGTTATCAGGACTGATTGTGAGGGTTGGAAATATAAAGGTAGATGTTTTGTAGCAAAAGGAGGGGAGTGATTGACTTTGCAGTCCAGGAGCGGCGGTTCCTGGGACCATTGAGGGAGAAGAGCGGAGAGTGGGACCCTACCTAGAGAAACAGTGACACCAAAGGTGGAGGCAGAAATGATGATGTGGAGAGGGGTTGTGTGCTGACAATTGCGGGGGTGCGGGGGAGCGTCAGGCTTTCAGGGTATACACTTTGGTTGGTTGATGATGCATGGAGGTGATTGTAACCATGGCAATGAAACGATAATATGATAGGATGAATGTAAAGCTAATGTTCTCCCATGTAAGCTATAACATAATTCACAATAAAACATTAAAAAAAAAAAAGATCAGGCTTATTGGTCAGAGACTAGAGGAACCTGAGACTTAGGGCTTTGGATACCTTTAAGGTCTGAAACTCAATTCAACCTCATGGTTCAATTTATAACCAGGCAGTAGCTAGGTATACAGTGGGGGCAACAACATTAGTGAGATATGTACACCTCAGAATGGTCAGTCATTTGAGATCAGAAATGCGGCATTTACCAAGGAATAATTAAGAACAGTTGGGAAAGAAGGAATGAAAACAATCTCGGAGAAAGCGGGCTAAATTACATTGAGTGGATTACAGTCATTGAGATCAGACCAAATGTATGACTTGTGGAATGTAAAACTGATGATCTGTTCTGTAAACCTTCACTCAGTTCACACTAAAAAAAACTGAAGAAAAAAAATGTTCATAGAAAAATATTAAAATATACTGGGATTTTTACACAAACTTTTTGAAACCCTTGTGTACTTGCCTACTCTGTTTTCATAACTTTTTTCACTTTTTAATTCCGTTTAGCTTCCACCTTTTTTATCAGTGCTGCAGAGTACAAATATAAGCCACTGTGTAATTTATATAGTGATGGTTGTGTACTATGGAATTGATCCTGACTCATAGCAATGTCCAAGCCTGTAAATGTTTACAGGAGCAGAAAGCCTCATCTTTCTCTCACACAGCAGCTGGTAGATTTGAGCTGCTGACCTTGCCGTTAGCTGCCCAAATCATAATCCACTATGCTACACTTAAAGAATAAAAAGAAACAGTTAAAATTAATTTTAATAATGTTAATGATGTAATCTATCTAATGTTTTAATGTGCAATAAAGATTTACAAAAAAATAATTATTGAGAATTCATATTTGTACTAAGTCTCAGAAATCTGGTGTTTATTTTATATGTCTAGCACAGCTCATTTGAGACACACTGCATTTCAGTTCCACCAATCAGGTGTCTGTTGTACTATGGTGATATATTTGTTGCTGTGATGCTGGAAGCTATGCCACCAGTATTTTAAATACCAGCAGAGTAACTGCTGTTGGACAGATTTCAGTCCCTAAAACAGACTAGGAAGGGGAGTTGTACCACTTCTGAGTGGTTATCCATTGAAAACTTTATGAATAGCCGCAGAGCATTGTCATATATTATGCCAAAAGATGAACCCCTCAGGTTGGAAAGCACTCAAAATAGACTGGGGAAGAGCCCCCTCCCTCCTCAAAGTAGAGTTGACCTTAATTATTTAATTACATGGATGAAGCAGAACTTTTGAGACCTTCATTTGCTGATGGAGCACAATTCAAAATGATAGAAACAGATGCAAACATCCATTAATAACCAAAACACAGAATGTGTAAAGTATAAATCTAGAAAAATTGGAAGTCATCAAAACTGAAATGGAACACATAAAGATAGATAACCTAATCATTGCTAAGCTGAGATGGACTGGTATTGGCCATTTTGAATCTGACAATTGTGTGATCATTTTGGCTGGGAACTTCAAATTAACGAGGAATGCCATCACATCATCAAAAGAGATCCATCTTAAAGTCCAACGCTGTCTATCAGAGGATAATATCCATATGCCTGCAAGGAAGACCAGCATCCTGGTGTGGCACTGTGGGTTAATGCAATGCACTAGACTGCAAAGTCTGTTTGAACCACAAGATTGGCAGTTAAGCTGCTTGGAAACCCTATACAGGGTTGCTACGGGTCAGAACTGACTCAGTGGCCCATAACAACAACAAACAAGACCAGTTCATACTATTCAAATTCACAAACTAACCCCTAAAGCTAATGATGATGAAACGAAGAATTCTATCAACTTCAGTCTGAAATTGATGAAACATACAATCAAGATGAATTAATATTTACTGGTGATTGGAATGGGAAAGTAGGAAACAGGAAGAAGGATCGGTAGTTGGAAAATGTGACATTGGTGATAGAAACAATGCTAGAGATAGCTTGTAAAATTTTGCAAGACTAATGACATTCATCACAAATATCTTTTTCAACAACATGAATGGCAACATACACATGGGTCTCACTAGATGGAATATACAGGAATCAGATTGACTAGACCTGTTAGAAGAAGAAGGTGGCATCAGGAATGGAGGAAAACTCATTTCCAAACTGCTATATGCAGATGATATGACCTTGCTTATTAGAAGTGAAGATGACTTCAAATACTTACTAATACAGATCAGAGACTACCACTTTCAGTATTTATTGCACTTGAATGTAAAGGAAAAAATCCTCACAACTGGACCAATAACTATGTCATGACAGATGGAGAAAAGATTTAAGTTGCCAAAATCCTCATTTTGATTGAATCCACAATGCTTATGAAATCAGCAGTCAAGCAATCAAAGGATATCTTCATTGGGCAGATTGACTGCAAAAGATCTCTTTGAAGAGCTTAGATAGCAGTTTGAAGTGTGCCTGACATAAGCCGTGTCATTTACAATTGACTCACATGCATGTGAAAGTTGGACAGGAAGTAAGATTGTAAAAGAATTGATAAATTTTAATTATGTTGGCGAAGAATATTGAGATCATTTTGGGCTGCTAGATGATCAAATCTGTCTTGGAAGCAGTAGAACCAGAGTGCTCCTTAGAAGCAAGGATGGTGAGATTTTTGTCTCACATACTTTAAGAAATGGTGTTAGAAGGGTCCAGTCCTTGTAGAAGCACATCATGCTTGGTAAAGTAGAGCATCAGCCCAAAAGACAAAATCACTCAATGAGATGGATTGACAGTTGCAGCAACAGTAGGCTTCAAACATAACAGTTGTGAGGATGGCACAGGACCAGTGTTTGTTGTATTGTGGTTAGAGTCCCTATGAGGCAGAACCAACTCTGGCATATAGCAATAGTACATTTCAAGTGCACTGGACTGCTACTCATAAGGTCCTTGGAAAACCTATGCAGGATCACTATGAGTTAAAACCAACTCAGCAGCACTTAACAACATAGCCATTGAGTGACTAGTGACAATTGTCTTGGATAGTGTAATTTCTTAACTGTTTAATTCCCCACATCACTGCCAAAGTTACCTTCTCATAAACCAAAATGGATCATCTCATTCACTTAACCTGAAAATTCCATGTAGTCTCTAATGACTATAAAAATCTCTCCTTATTCAAGACACCCCCCACAATCTGGTCATAACATAATTTATCAACCTCCACCTCGATTCCTTATCTATGGTGTCTTTTTTAAAGATGGTTTCTCAATCCTACATGTATACAGAAATCTTTGCTCATATCTGTCATGCACACTTTATTTAAATGTCAGTCTCAATATTTTGAAGAGCTTGGTACACTTACAAACTTAAGGTTTATAAATCATGCTTGTATAAGTAAACAGCTGTATCTGGACTACCTTTTTCATTCAGACAGCTTTAATTTATCATTTCCAGAGAGAATTGAAAAGTTAATGTTTCAATACTGAATTCTAGCTCTAAATACTTGCCTTTGCTTTTCTTACAGGTTCAAGTAAAAAGACACTCAGAAAAAACAAAAGACAAGAAAAATGAAAGCTTTTTCAAGAAACAACTCTCCTGTCATGAAAATCCTAAAAACTGCTTAAGGTTAGTGATGAAATTTGCAAGTGGAATCCAAATGAGTAGAACCAGAAGTTAGTAGAAAAAGTTTACTATTTCTTATGAACAGGGGTTTACATGTGTTTAGTTATTTCTTTGAAAGCACTCAATTGTTTAAGGAAGGAAAATATAATTTAAACTCTTATCTTTGGTGAATAATTGAATTTTCTTTCCTTTGTATCCTGGTTTAGACTGATGCTTTTGTGACATACAATAAATGTTACTGCATTAAAAATTAGTGTAAATTTTTTGAACCATTTCTGTAACTTTTTTTTTTATACTTATCAGAAACATGCATCTTCACACCTCATTTTGTGTAGTACTGCACTTGTTATTTGTAGACATAAAGTAATAAGTAACTCATGAGCACAACATTCCTCATCAGACAGTTATAACTGAAACTATTCATTACCTTTTAACAGTTTGCTTTCTTTTGCTGTAGCAGGCACTCTCTACCTGCTGTAACAAATGTTTTGAAAATGTTAAATATACTTATTCGTCTTTTACTATTGTTAAAACCACTGCCGTATTTTAAATGTTGTTGTTGTTGTCAGTCAGTTTCTATTCATGTTGACCCTGTATGAGGTTTTCAAGGAGTGT